AGATGATATTTCTGGGACATAATGTGAAAAGAAGGCTTGGAGAATTTAGTACTTACATGGAAGTATGGTTTAATAGCAAATAACCTACTTAAAAGGTTTGTGTGAATGAATCGGAGTAGGACAAAGATGGATGGTAAAGAGGCAAAAATTATGGTAGGACAAAGCATATAAAAAAAAGAACAAAAAAAGTGTTTCTCATGATATTTAATCTCTGCTACACCTTAGCCATGACAAGGAAAAGTTTACTTCAGTTTATTCTTTGGTTTAATTGTGTTATATAGAATTCAAACTTAATTCAGTAACTTATTAAAATCTTTCAAACTTACTGTATATTTCCGCATATAAAATTAACTTTAAATCCCCAAAATTCCCCTTAAAAATTGGGATGTTGTCTTATAATCTACAATTAAGAAACCTTAAATTCTGAGTGATCTGTGTCAGTATGCTAATCTTGGCCTCACTGTAATAACCAATAACGTACATGAAAAGATTCACATTATCAAATAAACTGATAATGAAAGTAACAAAATCATTTCTACTTTATATATTACTGGCATAACTTCATAATAAATTACCTATTCGAAGAATAATTCTATATCCATGAAATCAATTTGTATCCATGCAAGCTCAGCTGAGAAAATGTAAACATGGAGTTACAATTGCATTCACAGCAATGGAATGTACTATTATCGTACATTATCATACTGTTATTAGCAGTATTTTATGATTGTCGATGACGTATAAATAAATTGTCATTAGTACACCAGGCTGTTTGCAACTGTTTAGATATAGGAAAAGAAGAAGAAGAAGAAGAAGAAAAAGAATCAGTTATCGCAAGAGATCACGTGATGAAATGCAAAAAATAACAATGGTTTCCTTTTTAGGGAACATGTACGAAAAACATTATATAGAATCAGTTTTGTTATTTTGAATTTCTAAGGATACAGTAAGTAACAATATTTCTAATAACATCATCTTTATATAATTAATAAGTAGTCATCTTATACTACAGGTATAGGATAAATTTATAAAAATTTGCTATATTTTTTGACCTCGTCTTATCTAAGGTCACCTCATATGTAGAAATATACTGTACTTTTATTTGACTTATTCAAAATTTATTTATTTATTTTACATTTATTTAAATTTCATGAAGCATTTCATTGGGTTAACACAGGCAGGTGCATATAATACTAACACTTTGTTGGTGTTTCAATATATATCAACCTTTGGCCTAGCCAAACGGAATTCACAATCACAAGTTTTATAACTTATTACAGTCATATGCTTTAGGCAAGTATAACAGAAGCAAGTTGGAGGAATGGATAACAGCTTGAATTGAGGAATTGGAGAGTCAAGTTTGAATTCCAGTCAAGTTTATTACATTCACTTACAGGTTAATATACTTGGGAAAGGTATGAATCCATCTTTTCTCCCTACAGCTATGGGTGAATAGCAGGACAGATTAGGTCCTAGAGTCTGAAGGCCTAATATATTGACTGAGGGAGAACTACACTATATTCTGTGGTCTTCGGCTGGTGGTCAAGAGATTGAGAGGAGATGGGTGCCGCCAATTTATCTGAAAACCCACTGAAAGGATCATGAGGACAAAGAATCAAAGTCTTTCTTCTGCCCTCCTCAGATCTCCCCCAACAAGTGTTTAAAAAAAAAACAAAATAACAAAAATCACACAGGAATAGCAGCTGCAATTGTTATAACATCTCCAAGCAGATAAGAAGAATTGATTAAACAGAAATTGTTGGGGTATTGAAACAAATGGTTCAGTTCATTTTCATTAGCAGGTTTGATAAATCTTCTGCTGCCTGTTGGAATCTATTGAGTTGAAGGTAGGGAATAGTTAACTAGAGCACAAAGTTCAAACCACAGCTAAGGCAGTTGGTATTTATTATAATAATGTAAAGATCATATAGATATCTCTAGGGTAGTCTAAAGAAGGCCTTCCCTCTCCATGTTGGTTTTGAACTTAGAGTTTTTATTCTCCTAGACCGGCTGACACCCAAGATAAAAAGGCTGAGTCTTCACTGTTGGAAGATGATGGATTTCTGTTGTTTCCAGTAAAATTGAACTTTGCATGTCGATGTGCAAATCTATCACTCACTTCACACTCCTTCTTGGTCTTTTGAACAAAAGGAGAGGTTTACCCCTTGTTTGTTGTTTAAGATTGGGTTTCCTGTTTCTTCTAAAGTCTACTTCAACTCTATACATCTAATATCTTCAGCTAAAAATATGTAGTTTCATTTACTATTCCCCCCCTCCAATAGGAGTAGATAGGTTTGCCTATTGTTTGGTTAAAACTCCTCCCTGGTCTTTTGAACAGGAGATTTATCTTTTGTTTCCTGTTTAGGACAGGGTTTTTGGATCCTTCTAAAATCTTTTCTTTCTCTTCCGATGATCCCTTGCGTCTTGGTGGAATTGTCACCTTGCCTTGCTTGCATCTTACTTTGTAACCCTCTACCTTGAGTAGCCCTCGAGCCTTGTACAGAGTGAACATCATTGTAAAAAGAAATGTAAAAATTAACAGCAATTAATATAAATTTTATCAATATACATGAATTGCAAATATATATATATTTTTTTTTTTAACACATTTTAAAACATTCATATATATTGAGAATAATTTGAACTTAAAATTCATTAGAAATAAACACATATATGAATCAGAAGGGGGAAAACTTTTTTCCTTAGTTTACATCCAAAACATAATAGAATATAGAGAATCTAAAAGAAATTAAAATAGAAACAATTGGATTTTGTTTATTCCTCATTTCACCTCAAGCAAGGCAATAAAGGACACAAGAGGTTACTGAGTGTTAGAGAATATGAGAAAAACTACTATTAAGGAGAGAGGACAATAAAAGAACTAGAATTAAGAAGACAGAAGATAATGATTGGCATTGCATTTAAATTTTTGAAGAGTTGGCTGGGAAGTAAGAAGCTAAAAGAGAGTTCTATGAGCAAGAAGAGTCATAGAATAAAATGTTAGCATAGAACTTATGTCTACATCTAGCCATCTAAAATGATGAGATCTTGCCACCAATCTAGTAATGGTGCTTAAATTTACAAAGTCTGCATACCATAGTGGAAAGTTCATCAGAACAATTTTTGTATCACCCCTTGTGAGCTCCGTGCAATTTCTCCAGTGGCTGTTCTCCACGCTGTGATGTTGCCGGGGGTTGGTTGAAAAAGTCGAAGTCTCAAGCTGGGGGCACAAGATAAACCATTGAAGGAACGAACTTCCACAACTTAGATGAGTTTAATCAACGATTTATTTCGTTCAGACTTAGTCTTGACGTTGGGGTAGGCAATGTGACACTCAGCTCTAACTAATGGAGATCAAATGAACCGACCGACTCAGACGAACCGAGTTTCACTTCTTCGATGTGCCCGACACACGTGGCTACTTCAAGCACACGCCCGGCTGAACTGCTCGGCTTGGAAAAATCACTTGTATTTATATTGAAATACTCTGAAGTCCTCTAGACCACCGGGCGAAAACAAAAGATAAGCATTGGCGACTAAGTTCAAAATTTCAAGGTACTTAAATTTTGCTTTCTTTGATGTGTAAAAATCCTGCGGACATCCCATCTACACTCGACCTCCAACGATGTATTTTCCAGGATTTTTCTATTTTAATCTTTTTATCTTAACAAATCTTCGTGTGAAGGCCGTCGGATGTTTTTATAGCCCCGGCACTTTCTCAGTAGCTAGGGTTTTTTTTTTCTTTCCTTTTTTTTTTTATTGCCTGGAGAAAAAGAAAAGATAACAGAAATTTCCCTATTTCTTTAATGTGTTGTCGAGATACAGTAAAGACAGTTTTTGACCTGGTCATCTAAAATCCATTTCCTAAACGTTTATCTTTTATCACATCAAATCACTTAGTCAAATATTTTATTGGAAGACTGGTAGGATTTAACAGTAATCTGATGCCCTTTTCTCTTCCACAAATTTACTTATAAAAGAAAAAGCGTTTATTTATTTTTTCCTTTTCTTTTTCCTTTAGTACTTTTGTTAAATGAAACACATGTTTTTAAACTATTTTTCTATTCTTAACTGTTTTCTATTCTTAATTTATTAAAATAAAATACATATTTTACAAATCAACCTTAATATACGCCTAGTTATCGTGTCACATTTTCATAAAAGTATTTATAGAAAAAGCCTAGGCAAACCATGTTACAGAAGAGGAAAAGGGACAGAAGCTGAGATGTCAGGACCAATAACATTACAGATTCTTTGGATTTTATCAAAAACCTCTAAATACATAGCAGTAGCACCAAACTAGATGTAGCAGCAATATTCAAAGCAAGGACAAATGGTAGACTAATAATTCGAAAATACGCTTTTAAGTAGGCACCCAAGGGGGACGTCAGTGATGTTTTGACTTGGTTCATCAGGGAGTTTTGGGTCTTTCAACATCATACTCCCCATCACCAAATCGACCCAATCAGGGGAGATCAACCCCTGATTCCCCCTCCCAATTAAACGCTAACAGCCTTTTTAAAGAATAAGAGGAAGAATGACCACATATTCCGCACATCTGATTGGATGTTTGTAACAACCAATCCGCTGTGCGAACTATTTTTTTTAAATGGCCCGCGTTGTGGACTGGTTTCATATACAATAAAAAATTACTTATACAAATTATTTTCATAGATACAAGAAAAACCAAGGAAAACAAGCAAGGTGCCTGTACCCCACCCAAAAGCAAATTAAATTATCGTGTTTCCTATTTAAATTAATTATTACACTTTTTACAGAATAGATGAATAATTATTTGAAAAATAGATAAACCTGATCAATTTTTGGAGAATACTGTCTTGCAGAATGTACCTATATATTGCTACTTATATTTCTGATATTAAAAATGCCAAAATATGCAATAATTAAAGATTTTTTAGACATGAATAATTATAATTCTTCATTATCATTAATCTTGATAAAAATCAAAGATGGCTGATAAGTCCTTTATAAATACTTACACTTCAGATCCATTTTTCCAATTTTTAAGACGCTCCAATTGAAACAACAAAACATCATCTGGTGATATAGGTACAGCCCCTTCTGGCAGTTCCTCATAACGTGACACCTGGGAAATTTTCCCACCTTTTGCATGTGAAATCATCTCATCAGATTTTACCTGTCAGAAAAAAATAAAAAAAAAAACAAAATGTAAGAACAATTTACCTTATTCTATAGGCATACTATATACACAATACACTGTAGATATATACTATCTCCTGTTACAGTAGAACATTCTCCGCTTACAGCAGAATGTTTACACACTGGACTCACATTTGGTATTGTCATGTAACATCTACTTGTAACAATGATTTTTCCGGATATAAGTCTTACCATTTTAACCACAGATGTGAGAAAAGGTGGAATCATACCTTTTTTGAGAGTGATTTGTGTGTAAGTAACTGTAATGAGCTTGTCTGGAATTACTCATTCTGAGTTACTATCCATTACATCACCGTGCATCTCCAAGATTATAGTACTTTGTATTCTCAAGTGGTCACCTTTTAAGTACTGACCAGGTTTGATGTTGCTTAATTTTGGTGATCAGACAAGAACCGGTGTTCCAATACAATATAGGTGCAAATGCTACTATATTGTAAGCATTCTTATTGGAATTGTTGCTTAAAAAAAAAACAAATTTTATCATTTAAGGCAATTTTTTACTTAATTTCCAAAATTTAAAACTTTCGTTTTACTAGTAAGAGAAAATCTGATTTTATTTTTCAGACAGTTTGTGATAAACATTAAAGTACAAAATTTCAGCCAGAAAAAAGGTAAATTTCTCAAATATTTTAAATTATGTCACAACAAAATAGATACAAGATATGAAAATTGATACTAATCTTAGTTTTGAATAGAAATAACTTTTCAACAAAGATAATGACGCTTAGGTTAATTTCATAAAATGCATGTTTGCATTAATTTCACTTTCTTCACAATGCATTTTATGGCCTGTACATCTACTGGCTGTAGCATATTAGCTTACACACACACACATATATATATATATATATATATATATATATATATATATATATATATATATATGTGTGTGTGTGTGTGTGTTTGTGTGTGTGGTATTTATATTAAGTTCTTGGTTTAAAAAGAAATGTGCTACCCTCAATGCATCACTGACTTATATAATATAGTCAGGCAAAAACACAAAGTACGTGGTCTGATGATTGCCTTTAGCATAAAACAGGCTGTTGTCTCTGGGTCTTGGCTTCAATGTCCACTTTTATATTTACATACACTATCCCTGATACTGAGCACTTTAAACCATAAATATAGCATACTTATATATATATACTCACACTCTTTGGGTCCTGTCACTGGATCTAACTAACACCTTTATCCACTGTGCCATGTGTCCTTGAAGTCACATTAGATAAAGGCATTAGTTAAATTCTGGGTACAGGACCCAAAGAGAGTGTGTTCAATACCCGATTAAGGTAGTGGAGAACTTGGAGAGGGGAATTAACAGGGGATAACTGACAACTGACATCCATTAAAATATGGCACATGGAACTAGAACAGTCTACCCCAGTGAGCAAAATAAAGGGTTCAGTTCGACATTCCAACCACCTGAAGAAGGCTGGAGCGTACAATGGCCGAAACGTGGACAATAGTCTGAATAATGTAAATAGTGAATCTAAGTATGTTTGCTTTCATAGACTGAAAATCAAATGATCATATTTTTACTAACTTATTTCACTTATTTTTCAAATGCAATGGCATTTATAATTAAATATTTACAAAAAAAAAAAAAAAAAAAAATTCCACCATCCAAGTACAGATTTTTAGGCTCCAAAAATGCACCATTAGATGGTCTAAGAGACATATATCCTACTCTATTAAAGTATTGGTTAAGTTTCTTTTTTCATTATAAGTCTTTAAATCTGATAGCTATTGGGTTACTCAAAAGGTTTATTCTGTTTTTATTGTTAGTTAAAACCAAATGCATATTATGCCATCTAGCTTCAGTTGAGAAGATCACCTTTGATAGTCTTGTGACAGCTGTCATATCAAAGTGAATTTTAAAATATTTTTTCAAAATTGGTGTTTCTTCATTTTTTTAAGATTGTAGCAACATTTTTTATGTATTTTTTTAATTTTAAAATCTTAAAATACAATTTAAATACTAAAAAAAAAAAACAGACACTTCTGCAGTTTACAAAGAAAGTACTGTCAATGAACAAAAGTGGTTAGTACTAGAGATTTCTCACAGAATGATGCTCTATGGTTGGACAAACCAGCTGAGATTGATCGCAATCAAACATTTATATTACTTGAGAATAATCAAAAGACAATGTGAAAGCCAATATAATCAAAATGCCTAATCAACTCCTAAGAATCATTTAAAATAACTTGGTGTTATAAGAAGTTTGTAGTCATTTCTGTAGGTAAATAAAGCTTTATTCCATAGATGTCGCTCGTACAACATTGAATGCTCTTTCTGAAGACACCGTCCTTGAATTCATTCACCAACATAATAATCATCCGCCCCTTCTCAATGCTCCAGCTCTTTTTACTATGCCAAAATAATGGCCAACTGACCAATTAGCATCCTTGGCTTTGTCTTCAGTCACAGTGTCAAATGTCATCCTCCAGTCCAACAGCAACGTTTTAGAAATATATACTTCTAAAATAACTAAGGGAGGAGAAATATTCATGCCATTTTTAAAGGAAAAAAAACCCAAAAAACATTGCTGCTACATGTCACATATTGAGGTAAGGAAGTTATTTTTCTTTATAGTAGATGCAAGCCACTCTGATGCATTTACTTCTACGTAATTGTTCACTACACTTGGTTATATTACATGTTTTGATGTGTAGCTTTAACATAAGGAAAGAAAAAGAATTTCATGGAAAATTGCAAAAGGAACCAGAAGTAATTGTTCAGCAAGATAAAGTTATAGGAGGATGGTATTGTAAGGTCAGAGGAAAGATAGCAAAAGATATAAAGTGTGTGTGTGTGTGTGTAAAAATTGAGATATAAAAGAATATATCTGTAATGACAAACTAAAGAGAAATAAAAAGAGAAAATCTAGTTTTGCAGAAATAAGTTTTTCTCTTGTCATATATCAAAAAACAATAAAATAGCATTTTTAAAGCTCTTATCATCATGTGATGAAATTCAACCATCTGATGATTGCAAGAGCATTAAATTTGGAAGTTGAAGCATTTTGTACTTTTAAAATGTTATTTTTATTATTATGGAAAAGGCTTTGTCTTGTGATACTGGGTGCTTTTTATTTTTTTAGCTTTAAGCTTTCAGCTTCATTTTATACTAATAAGTCTGTGTGTATATATGACATAACTAACATATATTAGTTGTGTATATATATATATATATATATACACACACACACACAATTTTATATATATATATCAAGAACAATATAGGGGGAATTGTATGACAAGGTGGAAAAAAGTTTCCAGGTGACACGCTTTCATCTAATGAAGTACGTTACACAAGTTTCCTCGATAATATATAAATAAATAAATACAAATAATTGAAGGAAAAAAAAACAAAAAAACATTCTTATTGCTACAGATACAAATATATATAAAAAAAAAACAACCCCCCACCCCCACAAAAAACATAAAAACATCCTTAATAAGGGTTAATAGAAAAGCTGGCAGTGCTCTGATATATGCCACATTTGGACACATTTTACACACTTTATATCCAGAAAAACAAACACTTATACAAACACAAGAAAAACTGAATAAAAAGCTTAATTGCAATATCTTGTCAGCCATCTGTAATGAAATTTGTAAATAAAAGAGAATGTCAAAAATTTTAAAAATATATATTTTGCTTTTTAATTAAACAAGCAAATTGTTTTGGCAAAAGCAATAAAACCTGAAAAAAATGAAAAATAAAAATACACAAGAGTAAGAAAAATGCAATTTGGAAAAATCATATCTAATGATAGGAAAAATTATTTGCTAACTTATTACAGATGCAAATTCATGTAGGGGAACTATAAAAACTAGATGGTAAAAAGATCTTCACAGTTTGAGAGAATATCATTTTGAAACATTTGATAAATCAGAGTTTAATGAGCAAAGAAGTTACAATAAAAAGTACAAAACATATAGAAATTCTGATTTTGAAATCTTTAAGTCATATAAAGTATTTCTTTTTGATTTTAGTGGGATTATTTCAAAAGGGATTGCTCAACTCTAAAATATGACTGCAATATTTAAATTAATTGGTTGGAATCATAGGAATAAGAGATATACGGTATTAGCGTTATTATATGTGAGCAACAATAATCATTTAGAGAAAATGGAAACAAAAATGAAACTTATTTACATTATTTACATTGTTCAGACTGTTGTTTTCATTTTGGCATATTCAACATCGAGCAAAAGTCATAAATGGTGACCTAGAGACATATTAACAAGAAATGGCCAGTATAAGCAGTACCCTACAATGTAACAACTACCCTGGATGCATGGCATCAGCTCTGACAAACTGGGATATAAGGATACAAAGATAACAACACTCAGAAAACAGCTTCAATCTTCCTATCGTATGTGAAGGGATGATCAGAGAAAATACAAAAGATCTGTGGTGCATATAACATCAGGCTGACCTTCAAAAGTGCTTTGACACTTTGCAGACACCTCTTTTGAGTAAGACACTCCGCATAGAGGAGAACATGACTAAGGACTGTATGTACACCATTCCGTGCAGCTGTGGAAAGAAATATAAATGAGAAACAGGATGAACCCTTAAGGTGAGACTGCAAGAACATTGTAAAGCTGTAACATGAGGGGAAATAGAAAAATAAGGGTGGCTGACCACATATGGAGGGAAAAGGGAGATCACCACCCTGTGGGAAGAGATTGAAATAATAGACAGAGATCATCACTGGAAAATATGAAAACTTAATAAATCAGCACATGTGCTAAGCCACAAAAAACTCCTAATCCAGTCAAGCATAGAAATGAATACAATATTGGAACCAGTAATAAGGAGTGTGACAGAAAAGCAATAACAACAAAATTGCAATGTAAGCTCTGGTAAAAAAAATTATTACCGAGATATTAACTTTAAGTCCCAAAAATTCATACACTGTTGTCCTCAAG